TGAATACATAGACCATAACATGTCCCTAGTGACCCTCTAGTTGACTAGCTCGTTGGTCAACAGATAGTCATGGTTTCCTGACTATGGACATTAGATGTCATTGACAATGGGATCACATCATTAGGAGAATGATGTGATGGACAAGACCCAATCCTAAGCATAGCACAAGATCGTGTAGTTCGTTTTGCTAGAGCTTTTTCAATGTCAAGTATCTCTTCCTTAGACCATGAGATCGTGTAACTCCCGGATACCGTAGGAGTGCTTTGGGTGTACCAAACATGACAACGTAACTGGGTGACTGTAAAGGTGCACTACGGGTATCTCCGAAAGTGTCTGTTGGGTTGACACGGATCGAGACTGGGATTTGTCACTCCGTATGACGGAGAGGTATCTCTGGGCCCACTCGGTAATGCATCATCATAATGAGCTCAAAGTGACCAAGTGTTTGGTCACGGGATCATGCATTACAGTATGAGTAAAGTGACTTGCCGGTAATGAGACAGACCGAGGTATTGGGATACCGACGATCGAGTCTCGGGCATGTAACGTACCGAATGACAAAGGGAATTGTATACGGGGTTGTTCGAATCCTCGACATCGTGGTTCATCCGATGAGATCATCGAGGAGCATGTGGGAGCCAACATGGGTATCCAGATCCCGCTGTTGGTTATTGCCCGAGAGCCGTCTCGGTCATGTCTATGTGTCTCCCGAACCCGTAGGGTCTACACACTTAAGGTTTGGTGACGCTAGGGTTGTATGAATATGAGTATGCAGTATACCGAATGTTGTTCGGAGTCCCATATGAGATCCCGGACGTCACGAGGAGTTTCGGAATGGTCCGGAGGTAAAGAATTATATATAGGAAGTGGTATTTCGGCCATCGGGAAAGTTTCGGGGTCACCCGGTATTGTACCGGGACCACCGGAAGGGTCCCGGGGGTCCACCGGGTGGGGCCACCCATCCCGGAGGGCCCCATGGGCTGAAGTGGGAGAGGAGCCAGCACATAGTGGGCTGGTGCGCCCCCCTAGGCCCACCCCCTGCGCCTAGGGTTGAAACCCTAGGGTGGGGGGGGGGCGCACCACATGCCTTGGGGGGCACTCCTCCCCCCTTGGCCGTCGCCCCCTTGGGAGATTGAATCTCCCAGGGCCGGCGCCCCCCCTGGGGGCCTATATAAAGGGAGGGGGGAGAGGGGCAGCCGCACCCTGAAGTCCTGGCGCCCCCTCCCCCTGCTACACCTCTTCCTCCTCCGTCGCGTGCTTGGCGAAGCCCTGCCGAAGTGCTGCTGTTCCACCACCACCACGCCGTTGTGTTGCTGCTAGAGCCATCATCATCAACCTCTCCTTCCCCTTTGCTGGATCAACAAGGAGGAGACGTCACACGCACCGTACGTGTGTTGAACGCGGAGGTGCCGTCCGTTCGACGCTAGGATCTCCGATGATCTGAATCACGGCGAGTACGACTCCATCATCACCGCTCCATCTAACGCTTCCGTACGCGATCTACAAGTGGTATGTAGATGCAAACTCACTCCCTTGACTCGTTGCTTAGACGAACTCATAGATGGATCTTGGTGAAACCGTAGGAAAATTTTTAATTTTCTGCAACGTTCCCCAACAGCCCCGACAAGTGTTGGAGGACCTCATGGGCCAAAGGTGAAGGAGCAAACCAGCCCACTAAGGGGTGGTGCGCCCCCCACACCCTTTCCCACGTTATTTGGGGAGGTGGGGCGCCTCCACCTGGATTGGGAGGCAATCCTCCACCTGCTTGGCTTGGGGGGGCAAGTCTCCCTAGGATTTTCCCTAGGGAGATCCAATCTGCTTGGCCGCCGCCCCCTAGGGGAAACCCTAGGGCGCCTCCCCCTCTCCCCTTGCCCCTATACATAGTGGAGGGGTGGGAGGGCAGCCGCACCTCTTCCCTGGCACAGCCCTCTCCCTCCTCCAACACCCCCTCCTCCTCCGTAGTGCTTGGCAAAGCCCTCCTGGAGAACCACGAGCTCCACCACCACCACGCCGTCGTGTTGTCGGAGTTCTCCCTCAACTTCTCCTCTCCCCTTGCTGGATCAAGAAGGAGGAGACATCCCCGGGCTGTACGTGTGTTGAACGCGGAGGCGCCGTCCGTTCGGCGCTTAGATCGAAATCGACCGCGATCTGAATCGCTGCGTGTACGACTCCACCAACCGCGTTCTTGTAACGCTTCCGCATCACGATCTTCAAGGGTATGAAGATGCACTCCCCGTTGCTAGTCTCTCCATAGATTGATCTTGGTGATGTGTAGAAAATTTTGAATTTCTGCTACGTTTCCCAACAAGTAGTTACTTTTGTTTTAACATGAAAATATGTATACCACACCTAAAAATACCAAACTTTGTGGTTTCATGAGTGCTAATAACAATGATTATATTAGTACACCAATTGCTCCATCAACCACTAGTGTTGAATCTTATGAAATCAAACCTGCTTCGTTTAACTTGATAATGGAAGAACAATTTTTTGGTTCTTATATTGAGGATGATGATTCTTATCTCAATGATTTTGTTGATCTATGTGATATGCAAAAATATAAATAAGTGGAAGCTCATGTGGTTAAGTTAAAACCCTCCCCCTTTTTATTATGAGAAAAATCAAAAGAATGGTTTCCATCATTGCCTACAAATAACATTGATTCTTGGACTAAATGTCAGAATGGGTTTATCGGTAAATATTATCTTCCTGCTAAAATCATAAAATTAAGTAATCTTATCATGAACTTTTAACAATTTGAGCATGAGCATGTGGCTCAAGCTTGGGAAATGTGAAAAATCTATGACTAAGAATTTTCCCACTCATGATTTAAGCAAGTGGATGATTATACAAAATATCTAGACTGTCATTAAGTATATGCCCAGAAATCTTCTAGACTTCGCTACATGTGGTATTTTTATGGCTACTAATTTGCGGAGTGCCATCAGACTTTTGATGAAATTACTTCAAACTGCACCCAATGGTATACTGAAAGAGCTCCAACTTGTAAGAAGGTCAAATTTGTGGGGAGATCTCGAGTTTGAATGATAAAATACATATGATTGTTTTATGCTTGCTTCTAAACATGCTCCTAGTGATGTCAAGGATGTTTCTCTTCTTGCACTTGTTGAACAAAGTACTCCCCGCGATTCAGTTCAAAACCATGTCACTTATTATGGGTCGGAGGTAGGAATGAACAATTGGATGTTAAACAACTTTGCTAATAATGCTTATAGAAACAATTTTGATGGTAATAATAATTATGCTAGACTATTCTCAAAACAATTTTAGAATTTTTTATGGTAATAAAAGTGTGCCTTATGAACTAGAAAGTGTTATGAAGGACTTTATTGATAGTCAAAAGGATTTCAGAAATGTTTTAGCAATAAATTGGATAATCTAGAAAATGGGATGCTTAAGATTGATACTTTGATCCTAATGCTGAAATACTTGAGATTAAAGCTTTGCCCAAATATGATATGTCTAAATCTCTTAAAGTTATTCAAGTTATTTTTGATAATAAATTAATAATGATAGGATGATTGCCATTCTTACAGCTAGACGTGAGAGAGAGAGAGAGAGAGAGAGAGAACAACAAGAAGAGATGCTACATATTCTGAAAATTCTGAAAGTAGGGGTATTGAAATGGTAAAACTTGAAGTAGCATTGAAACCCCTTCGGTGGACGAACTCACAAACTTGCGGCTAAACCAACAACAATAGTAGCCTATCAAGTATACTGGGATGCACCTTTGCATCTAAACCAACAATTATAGTACCATATAGAGTTTTTTTATGAGGATGAGAAGCTCCAATCTGCGCGAGGGCGATGCTCCCCGACACCATGGGTCGCGTGCGAACCATGGCCTCACCATGCGAGAGAGCTCGTGTGGTG